CACATGTCCTACCAGTCTCAGACAATCAACACATGTCCTATCAGTCTCAGACAATCAACACTGTCAGTCTCAGACAATCAACACACACGCCAGTCTCAGACAATCAACACATGTCCTACCAGTCTCAGACAAACAACACATGTCCTACCAGTCTCAGACAAACAACACATGTCCTACCAGTCTCAGACAATCAAACATATGTCCCAGACAATCAACACACCCTAGCCAGTCTCAGACAATCAACACATGTCCTACCAGTCCCAGACAATCAACACATTTCCTACCAGTCTCAGACAATCAACACACGCCGTAGACAGTCCCAGACAATCAACACACGCCCTAGCCAGTCTCAGACAATCAACACATGTCCTAAACAGTCTCAGACAATGAACACATGTCCTAAACAGTCTCAGACAATCAACACATGTCCTAAACAGTCTCAGACAATGAACACATGTCCTAGAAGGTCTCAGACAATCAAAACATGTCCTACCTGTCTCAGACAATCAACACATGCCCTACCCGTCTTAGACAATCAACACATGTCCTATCAGTCTCAGACAATCAACACATGTCCTACCAGTCTCAGACAATCAACACATGTCCTACCAGTCTCAGACAATCAACACATGTCCTATCAGTCTCAGACAATCAACACATGTCCTACCAGTCTCAGACAATCAACACATGTCCTACCAGTCTCAGACAATCAACACATGTCCTACCAGTCTCAGACAATCAACACATGCCCTAGATAGTCCCAGACAATCAACACATGTCCTACCAGTCTCAGACAATCAACACATGTCCTACCAGTCTCAGACAATCAACACATGTCCTACCAGTCTCAGACAATCAACACACGCTGTAGACAGTCCCAGACAATCAACACACACCCTAGCCAGTCTCAGACAATCAACACATGTCCTACCAGTCTCAGACAATCAACACATGTCCTATCAGTCTCAGACAATCAACACATGTCCTACCAGTCTCAGACAATCAACACATGTCCTACCAGTCTCAGACAATCAACACATGTCCTATCAGTCTCAGACAATCATCACATGTCCTACCAGTCTCAGACAATCAACACATGTCCTACCAGTCTCAGACAATCAACACATGTCCTACCAGTCTCAGACAATCAACACATGTCCTATCAGTCTCAGACAATCATCACATGTCCTACCAGTCTCAGACAATCAACACATGTCCTACCAGTCTCAGACAATCAACACATGTCCTACCAGTTTCAGACAATCAACACATGTCCTATCAGTCTCAGACAATCATCACATGTCCTACCAGTCTCAGACAATCAACACACGCCCTAGACAGTCTCAGACAATCAACACATGTCCTACCAGTCTCAGACAATCAACACACGCCGTAGACAGTCCCAGACAATCAACACACGCCATAGCCAGTCTCAGACAATCAACACATGTCCTAAACAGTCTCAGACAATCAACACATGTCCTAAACAGTCTCAGACAATCAACACATGTCCTACCTGTCTCAGACAATCAACACATGCCCTACTCGTCTTAGACAATCAACACATGTCCTAAACAGTCTCAGACAATCAACACATGTCCTAGAAGGTCTCAGACAATCAAAACATGTACTACCTGTCTCAGACAATCATCACAGGTCCTACCAGTCTCAGATAATCAACACATGCCCTAGATAGTCCCAGACAATCAACACATGTCCTACCAGTCTCAGACAATCAACACATGTCCTACCAGTCTCAGACAATCAACACATGTCCTGCCAGTCTCAGACAATCAACACACGCTGTAGACAGTCCCAGACAATCAACACACACCCTAGCCAGTCTCAGACAATCAACACATGTCCTACCAGTCTCAGACAATCAACACATGTCCTACCAGTCTCAGACAATCAACACATGTCCTACCTGTCTCAGACAATCAACACACGTCCTTCCTGTCTTAGACAATCAGCACACGCCGTAGACAGTTTCAGACAATCAACAGATGTCCTACCAGTCTCAGACAATCAACACACGCTGTAGACAGTCCCAGACAATCAACACACCCTAGCCAGTCTCAGACAATCAACACATGTCCTACCAGTCCCAGACAATCAACACATTTCCTACCAGTCTCAGACAATCAACACACGCCGTAGACAGTCCCAGACAATCAACACACGCCCTAGCCAGTCTCAGACAATCAACACATGTCCTAAACAGTCTCAGACAATGAACACATGTCCTAGAAGGTCTCAGACAATCAAAACATGTCCTACCTGTCTCAGACAATCAACACATGCCCTACCCGTCTTAGACAATCAACACATGTCCTACCAGTCTCAGACAATCAACACATGTCCTACCAGTCTCAGACAATCAACACATGTCCTACCAGTCTCAGACAATCAACACATGCCCTTGATAGTCCCAGACAATCAACACATGTCCTACCAGTCTCAGACAATCAACACATGTCCTACCAGTCTCAGACAATCAACACATGCCCTAGATAGTCCCAGACAATCAACACATGTCCTACCAGTCTCAGACAATCAACACATGTCCTACCAGTCTCAGACAATCAACACATGTCCTACCAGTCTCAGACAATCAACACACGCTGTAGACAGTCCCAGACAATCAACACACGCCAGTAGACAGTCCCAGACAATCAACACACCCTAGCCAGTCTCAGACAATCAACACATGTCCTACAGTCTCAGACAATCAACACATGTCCTATCAACACAGTCTCAGACAATCAACACATGTCCTACCAGTCTCAGACAATCAACACATGTCCTACCAGTCTCAGACAATCAACACATGTCCTACCAGTCTCAGACAATCAACACATGTCCTAAACAGTCTCAGACAATCATCACATGTCCTACCAGTCTCACACAATCAACACACGCCCTAGACAGTCTCAGACAATCAACACATGTCCTACCAGTCTCAGACAATCAACACATGCCCTAGATAGTCCCAGACAATCATCACATGTCCTACCAGTCTCAGACAATCAACACATGTCCTATCAGTCTCAGACAATCAACACACGCTGTAGACAGTCCCAGACAATCAACACACACCCTAGCCAGTCTCAGACAATCAACACATGTCCTACCAGTCTCAGACAATCAACACATGTCCTACCAGTCTCAGACAATCAACACATGTCCTACCTGTCTCAGACAATCAACACACGTCCGTCCTGTCATAGACAATCAACACACGCCGTAGACAGTTTCAGACAATCAACAGATGTCCTACCAGTCCCAGACAATCAACACATGTCCTACCAGTCTCAGACAATCAACACACGCCGTAGACAGTCCCAGACAATCAACACACGCCCTAGCCAGTCTCAGACAATCAACACATGTCCTAAACAGTCTCAGACAATGAACACATGTCCTAGAAGGTCTCAGACAATCAAAACATGTCCTACCTGTCTCAGACAATCAACACATGCCCTACCCGTCTTAGACAATCAACACATGTCCTACCAGTCTCAGACAACCAACACATGTCCTACCAGTCTCAGACAATCAACACATGTCCTACCAGTCTCAGACAATCAACACATGCCCTAGATAGTCCCAGACAATCAAAACATGTCCTACCAGTCTCAGACAATCAACACATGTCCTACCAGTCTCAGACAATCAACACACGCCGTAGACAGTCCCAGACAATCAACACACGCCCTAGCCAGTCTCAGACAATCAACACATGTCCTAAACAGTCTCAGACAATGAACACATGTCCTAGAAGGTCTCAGACAATCAAAACATGTCCTACCTGTCTCAGACAATCAACACATGCCCTACCCGTCTTAGACAATCAACACATGTCCTACCAGTCTCAGACAATCAACACATGTCCTACCAGTCTCAGACAATCAACACATGTCCTACCAGTCTCAGACAATCAACACATGCCCTAGATAGTCCCAGACAATCAACACATGTCCTACCAGTCTCAGACAATCAACACATGTCCTACCTGTCTCAGACAATCAACACACGTCCTTCCTGTCTTAGACAATCAGCACACGCCGTAGACAGTCTCAGACAATCAACAGATGTCCTACCAGTCTCAGACAATCAACACATGCCCTAGATAGTCCCAGACAATCAACACATGTCCTACCAGTCTCAGACAATCAACACATGTCCTACCAGTCTCAGACAATCAACACATGTCATAGACAGTCTCAGACAATCAACACATGCCCTAGACAGTCTCAGATAATCAACCCACACCCTAGACAGTCTCAGATAATTAATACTTATGTAAGTCTTCACTATGGATTTAATGGATGATGTTTTATAAAAGAAAGGAATGTTAGATGATAAGAAATGTAGAAAATCAATGATACATTTGTGGTAACGCACAACGCACTAAAACCTTCGTGCAGATTTTGCGCACATCGTGCATACATTGTGCGCATATACGCACGATACGGTATCGTGTACACAATTGTGCGATAGGATTTGTGCGGGTATATATATGACTATATATATTTGTGTGTGTGTGTTGTGTGTGTGAGGGTGTGTGTATGTGTTGTGTGTGTGTGTGTGTGTGTGTGTGTGAGAAGTCTGGATCCGTACCGGCTCGACCGAGTAATACAAAAGTAATGGAAATAACTTTTCCATTCTGGCAGTATGCGATTTTAAATGATTAATTTCTGTGGCATAAAGAGACGCCCATTTAATGTTTACATATATAATGAATATATGTGTCCATACGCTAAAACCGGTCATGTGTGACTCTTTGTAAACAAAACGTTTAAAGTTACGAGTGTGTCTAACTTTTCAGTGCTGCTATGTATTAATGGCTAAATTAGGAAATATACTTAGTTGTACTATTATATATTTAGAAAATAAATAAACCCTATTCCATACTTAGTAATAAGTCGTGTCTAAATGTATATATACCACGATAGAATCGAACATCTGTGCTATAGAACTGCACAACGGACGCACAAACGTGTACTAGCTTATTTCATCCTATTTTCCTATCGTGCACAAATCGTGCAGACATCGTGCACATATCACACATCGTGTAACGTTGTGTTATCCCACACCTATATATAATATATTTATCGTTTGTACATAAGATATTTTGTAACAATGTCTTAAGAATGATTGGGCTCATGTTTTTGTCTCAGAGTAATAACCCATTCACCTGCTCGTCTTCCTCACTATTTAAGTATGCAGCAGAAGTCCTGTTATCTGTATTAGCTGAATATGATTCTATAAAAGATTCTCCGTTTGTTATGTTGCCACATTGTCTTAATAAATTGTCTTTGGTTTCTATGGTGATTTCCTGATCGTCATGAGCAAACGGTTGTTCTGTCTTGTTGAAGCAAGCTATCATCAGTCCTAAAATCGCAGCAATCGTGATACAAAATCCTGAAAGTTATCAAAGATATATTAATGGTTGAAATACAGTTAAAATGCTACACCTCCTCGGCGTATCCGTTATAATCCGACTTAACTGTAAGCGTATTGATAAAAGGCATATCTTGAGGTTATTTGTCCTCTATGTAAACCCCCCAGGCGATGTTTAAATTCTTTTGAATGCAGTCACGGTCCAGCGTATACATGTATATCTAAGCTCATTTAAAATCACTCCATATTGATAATGACTACATTTTTGGTATTATGGGTAGAGTACAACCTCATTTTATTATTATATGACCAATAAAATGTCAAAATCTGAATGGGAAGGTGCATCAGCCTCATAAGTCAATGAATACGTAATGTCCCTGTATCAGATAACTTCAGAGTCTTGTGCATGTGTATATTCTGAACCGTTCCACAATGCGAACGTATTTAAAACTCGGAATGCAGGTAACGGCATTCCTCGAATACTAACTGTCGACCGGCGGTGTCTATCACATGCAAACGAAAAGCGGCATTGACAAGCCTTAAAAGGACAAAATGGTTGTATTACACTGTATATGTCCTTACTTGTCTCCTTGTGCTACATCTATTTTCAACCAGTTATTCTTCTATCACCACCTAACTTTCAACAATTTAGGCTCTTCGCATCACTGACGAAACAGCTGTATCATATAATCTGATGATCTAAATTTGCATTAAATAGTACTTATTTTATTTTGTTTGTACCACTTCTCTGTGCATCCAAAATGCGTCTTGACGTAACAAAAAGCACAGATTCACACACGTCACTTGATATACACATGGAAGACTTGCAGCTGTGGTATAATATATCTGTGGTACACGTTAGAATGAAATATCTTACATTACAGTTGACCTCTAGAAGAATTATAAGACTTACTTAAGAATTAGTTTCTTAAACACAATACCTGTACTTTGTACTTACCTGCCAGAATAAAGGAATTTTCATACGACCCACCATTGTCGACTATTGCGCCTGTTGATGATAAGTTATCATCTATTAATGATTAATAATCTATTTTGAAATCTGTTACAACGAGTTCGCCAATAAAACGACAAGTGTCTTCAGAAATAGGTATGTAAGTATGAAAAACAACAAAGGTCAATAAGATAATTATGATGTTCACTGCCCTCATTCCCACTGAGATTTGTCAACCTATGAAGTTTCATGTTGATACCACTTCTAGTTTTCTTGTAATGCTCCAGACAAATACTCATTCTCTCATATAGCATACAGTAAAACACATTCCATACGTTTAACAGACGTGCAGACTTTAAACATTTCAAAAACTGTTTAAACATACTTGCTTTGCATTTAAAAACGTAATTTCCTTTACACTGAGAGTGCAATAATTAAATGGGATTTCTATAGGACAATTTATACTTTCATTTTACTTCTTTCTATAGTTTTATGACAGAGAGATATTACGATGATCATTAATCAGTTATTGATCTACATGAAAAATTAAATCATATCTATCTAGCTACGCAAAACCAGGCAAAGTATTACACTGATAAACACCGTACCATAAGATCAGTCACGTGTTACACTGATCAACATCGTACCACAAGACCAGTGACATATTACACTGATCAACATTTTACCACAAGACCAGTGACGTATTACACTGATCAACATCGTACCACAAGAACAGTGACGTATTACACTGATCAACATCGTACCACAAGACCAGTGACGTATTACACTGATCAACACCATAATACATAGTCTGGCATGTTACACTGATAAATATAATACTGGAAAATCAGGTCAGGTATCGCACTGATCAGCAGATGAAACATCATACCAAACGTATAGTTCATCACATTACACTAAAAAAGGAAGCGAGAGCAGACTGCAAACTAACATTCATTCTCCAAACCACAAACGACTTTAAAATGCAATGTTTAAGGCTGATTCGCAAAATCAGGAATTTACGTCGTCTGTTAATCAATAATTGAATCATATTATTTATTGTTAACATTTAATCATTTGTACATACCTGCAAGTGGTGGTCCTACTATTGAGCCGATACCACAAAGGAACATACATATCCCAAAGCCTGTGGCCAGTTCCTCAATCCCAACAAGTTGAATAATCAGTGTGTTGATGATGGAATAACAACACCCAGAGTATAATCCTAGAAATACGGCAAACGCTAGCTGACCTCCATACGTGAGGCCATATAGTGGGAATAGCAATGTCGACAGGCCTAGTAGTCCAAAACATCCAAAATACATTAAATTCTCATCTATACTGTCAGAATTAGCCGCCATTCCTGCTAGAACTCTGCCTGCACAATTACATAAACCACTTATAGCCATTAAGATTGACGCATTTAGAGGGGTTGAGCCCATCTCTATAGCATACCTGGGAAAATGTACATATACAAGGTATATTCCTACACACGCAAAAAACATACTCATGCAAAAACAAAGTAATGACAACTTTCTTAAAATGGCGAAAGAATGGCAGATTGTACTTAAAAGAACAAATCTATTTTCAGATTTTTTATCTATTGACTTTTGATTTCGAATTTGTTTTCGTTCCGATTCTAATTTGGAGGGAAAGAATAGACATCCGAACAGCGCCTGATGTAAAGCGATTCCTGATATAATTAAGAAGACACCTCTGTTGCCATATGTCTCTCTTGCAGCCTCTACAGCCGGAGCGAGGACAAAGGTACCAACCCCACATCCCGACACCGCTATTCCGCTGGCGATATTTCTCTTGTACTGAAAGTTAAACCCGAGGACCACCACAGAGGCCGAATACGTCAATCCTCCCCCAAGGCCTAAAACAGAAACAAGAAGCTGAAAAGCAGTTTGTTATATCAACGTATGAAGTCGCGATACAAATGACCAGAATGATAAGTATTTCTCGATGCTGATAAACCAGCAAACCCGTTTGAGTTAAGTAATAATACCTAGAAGATTTTAAGAGCGTAAAAACATTTTGTTTGTTCGTTTGAATGGTCAAGTCATCGGTATTGCATGCCATTCCGGTTGTAAACTTCATTGTAAGAACCATTGGGCCATATCATAATAGCGGGAAAGGTGTAATTGAGAAAATAAAAAGAAGTGAAGCTTTTTCTGGGATATAATAAGCAGAACGCAGTGAACAGAAGAGCAGACATAATAGTCCTCCTGACTTACTGTAGATATAACCATAAATTATTGGATAGGCGTTAAAGATTCGACAGCTACATACCTGTGATATGGGTTAAGAATAAGTGCATTTAATGCTTGCGTTTTAGTGATCATAGGGCAGTACACAAATCAAACAGAGAGAATGGCTAGTGTATAGAAGTACCCCCGATTCCTCCAAAGAAGAAGATGACCCAGTCTAGCGAGGGGACGAACGCGCTGATACCAAACCCGCTGGACATGATGATGGCGCCAATGAACATGGTCACACGACAGCTGTACCGGTTGATCAAGGCACCGGCAACAATACCTGTACAAAATACACCAGTCATTTATTGGTCAGTTTACATTACAGGCAATATTAACACAAGTTTTAAAAAAATGATGAAAATATGACTCTTGACATTCTTTTAAAATCCTCCAATATATGAAAATTATAAAGTTAATTGAATTGTATGGTTGCTGCAACTCCTCACTTCAATTTGATATTTCTCACGACAATTTTGGTTTCCTCAGTCACCTTCTACGTTTCAACCTTTCAGGCCACAAGCATCACTGACATATCTGTGTGTTGCGGTTTCATTCATTCTTTGGCTTTGCTGTACCTAACCCTTAATTTCTGTTCAAGTGCGCTTTTCTCTTTTGTCTTTTTCACAATCCTCTTTAGAAACCTATAATGCTGGTAGTTGTCTCCAAAGCCATTACTATAAAAAGTAGGGCGCATACTTAATGACGGATTACCAAATTACTGATAAAGATTCTAACCTGTCAGTGAAACCATCCCCAGGTATAAACCCGCAGCCCACGCCGTTTTACCGACGTCCTCCTGGAATCGTTCCAAAATGGCGTTATGCATGACTCCGACGGCATATAAGAAGCAACCGGAGACCATATGGGCACCGAAGGAGCCAGCCATGACAGCCCAGGACCATCCTGTGTCTGCCACCGATAGTCGACGTTCCCGCATACTCCTAAAACAATGTCAGAAGTTTTGTATTTCGGTTTTACTATTTCTTAAACGTTTCAAACAGATTATTGTAATTTATTTTTTCGTGTTTTTTTTTCTGGAAGTTATGTTCTTAAATCTCCTAAACTATCTTAAAACATTTCTGGATTTTAAATCAGAATTTTCCGGAATTGATGTTAAAGCTAATATAACTTCCTGCATGAATTCATTCTTCATCATAGTCTAGATCAGATTTATAATATAACCAGCAAAACATTCACTAGTCACATACTGAATGAAGTTACCCATCATTTCCTTAAATGCATTACTTGTTTTTTTCGTTAAACTTGTATCAAACTGTTGTAAATTATTATGTTGATGGTATATCCTAATCAAAGAGAAACTGGACAATAAAGCTACTTATTGTAGCAAAAACGAATCTCTCCCAGTGTTCTTAATATGGTTTTAGTAAAGCATCAAACGGTCATAACGTGACATTTGACGGGTTGTTTGTTCAACGTTTTCTTCTGTCTTGTTGGTGTGTGATACACGAGTGTTGATTCTTCAATATCATGAATCAACTCAAATAATATCAATAGTTTAATCTTAGGCGTTAAAGCTTTTATACATTGTTTTGTGTTTGTGGTCTTGTTTCTGTATGTGTTAATAATGACATCAGGCGATGAAATCATTGCATATTGTATTTGTTATGCTAATATTGTATTTCATATTTGTGGATATATGTGTTATTGTAGAATGTGTATTTGTTATGGTTCAGAAGGATACTCTGTATTTAAGAATGTATTGTAGCATAATTTGTATTTGTGATGGTAATGCAGTATAATTTGTATTTGTGGTGGTAATGCAGTATAATTTGTATTTGTGATGGTAATGCAGTATAATTTGTATTTGTGATGGTAATGCAGTATAATATGTATTTTTGAGTGTATTGTAGTATAATATATGATGGTATTTTATATTTGTGTCTTTAATCTAGGTTACATTTAAGGAGATGTTGTTTTGTTGTAGATGTTGCTATCGATCCCGTCCTACAAGATGTTATTGATTGACTCTATGGTGACGGATGTAGTTTAAGCTTATGATGTAATCCTTTGGTATGGTTTGTATATGTACATACAGACTTTGTGGTTGTAAGATGACACTGTTGTAAAATGTTTATTTGTTTGATGACGGATGTGATGCCCTGTTATGATTCGTATCTGTGTGTGATGATGTATATATTTATATAACGTGGATGTCTGGTGACGCTGTGGTATAATGTGTGTTTATTTTAAGACTGATATGATGCTCTGTTACAATGTGGTATAATGTGTGTTGTTTGGTTGAAGGCTGAAGTGATGCTCTGTTACAATATGGTATAATGTGTGTTGTTTGGTTGAAGGCTGAAGTGATGCTCTGTTACGATGTGGTATAATGTGTGTTTGGTTGAAGACTGATGGGATGCTCTGTTACAATGTGGTATAATGTGTGTTTGGTTGAAGACTGATGTGTTGCCCTGTTACAATGTGGTATAATGTGTTTGGTTGAAGGCTGATGTGATACTCCGTTACAATGTGGTATGATGTGTGTTGTTTGGTTGAAGGCTGAAGTGATGCTCTGTTACAATATGGTATAATGTGTGTTGTTTGGTTGAAGGCTGAAGTGATGCTCTGTTACGATGTGGTATAATGTGTGTTTGGTTGAAGACTGATGTGATGCTCCGTTACAATGTGGTATAATGTGTGTTTGGTTGAAGACTGATGTGAGGCTCTGGTACAATGTGGTATAATGTGTGTTTGGTTGAAGACTGATGTGAGGCCCTGGAACAATGTGGTATAATGTGTGTTTGGTTGAAGACTGATGTGATACTCCGTTACAAAGTGTGTTTGGTTGAAGACTGATGTGAGGCTCTGGTACAATGTGGTATAATGTGTGTTTGGTTGAAGGCTGATGTGATGCTCCGTTACAATGCGGTATAATGTGTGTTTGGTTGAAGGCTGATGTGATGCTCCGTTACAATGTGGTATAATGTGTGTTTGGTTGAAGACTGATGTGAGGCTCCGTTACAATGTGGTATAATGTGTGTTTGGTTGAAGACTGATGTGAGGCTCTGGTACAATGTGGTATAATGTGTGTTTGGTTGAAGGCTGATGTGATGCTCCGTTACAATGCGGTATAATGTGTGTTTGGTTGAAGGCTGATGTGATGCTCCGTTACAATGTGGTATAATGTGTGTTTGGTTGAAGACTGATGTGAGGCTCCGTTACAATGTGGTATAATGTGTGTTTGGTTGAAGACTGATGTGAGGCTCTGGTACAATGTGGCACTATGTGTTGATTGCCCGTTTGGTGATTTTTGACAATGTGTATTGCATTATGTCTTGGTATTATGACTATTTACAGCAATCCAAACTGTTATATTTAGTAGACACATGGTAGGTAGCGACAGGTAAAGATGGTTCAACTACGTCAATACATACAAGTGTATATATGAAATAACATCACAAGAAATTTATTTGACATCTGTACAGAAAGTAAACAATGTGTTCCAGTGACGGACACCGTTCCTCACAATGTTATCATTTCATCGTCGGAGTTGTGCACTTTTGGGATAAAATTTCAATTCAGCAGTGAAAACAATAGAACCTAATAGTATAACAAGAATGATATTGTAACGACAAAGTGTAACTTATGAAATATAGAGACCCAAATACCACGATAATTATCAGTGTAATCAGAGAGATACATGCTGACATACAACGATGATATAATGACAGGAATATGACATCAATAATGTAATGCCATATTAGTACCATGCATTGGGTTGTAATATACCAGTACCATACAGGGAGGTGTGAGAAACTCGTACTTTACAGAGATGTTTGACACACAAATATCATACAGGGAGTTGTGACATACCAGCACCATACAGAGAGGTGTGAGAAACTCGTACTTTACAGGGAGTTGTGACACACAAGTATCATACAGGGAGTTGTGACATACCAGCACCATACAGAGAGGTGTGAGAAACTCGTACTTTACAGGGAGTTGTGACACACAAGTATCATACAGGGAGTTGTGACATACCAGCACCATACAGAGAGGTGTGAGAAACTCGTACTTTACAGGGAGTTGTGACACACAAGTATCATACAGGGAGTTGTGACATACCAGCACCATACAGAGAGGTGTGTTATGACACACAAATATCATACTTTACCAGCACCATACAGAGAGGTGTGTGTACTTTACACACACAATATCATACAGGGAGTTGTGACATACCAGCACCATACAGAGAGGTGTGAGAAACTCGTACTTTACAGAGATGTTTGACACACAAATATGATAGCGGTGTGACACACTAGTTCCATACAGAGAGGTGTGACACACTAGTTCCATACAGAGAGGTGTGACACACAAGTATAACAATGAGAGACGTGATACACTTGTTTTAAACAGAGATTTATGGTGGTAGTAATATACACAGAGATGTGATTCACTTGTTTTATACAGAGATTTATGGGACTAGTAATATACACAGAAATATAATACACTAGTACCATATAGAGTGGTATGATGCTGACATATTTGTTTTATCTATTTTACGAAACAAACACACAATATTTAAAAATCACTTACCGATACGTGTCTTAATAATTCAATAGTTTGATACCGTCGGAAGCCCTCACCACGTGTATTAAGTGAGTTGTTCTTGAGGATCAACAAGTTTTTAGAGTCGGTTTAAAATTAAATTCAGGAGAATATTCTATGGAAGGCCGTCAAAGCAAACGAAAACATTCCTTATTCACATAGGTATATTACACTTCCACCCATATTACTTATTTGAAATCGTAATTAAAGCAAGATAATGGATTTAGAAAGTCTGCTATAAGAGCACGAAAAAAAGTGAAGTTAAAGGGCACTGCGGCTGGTCTGTGTGATCTTCCATATGTATAAGCTGTAACAGGCCAGGTATGGAAACTGTACACTCTACGTGATGTGAAAACCAGTCAGTCAAGTATTTCTGCCGACCGGGTAAGCGTGTTTACTTTTGGATCCAGTACAATATCGTAAAATAAAATATAACATAATTAGATAAATAACATTGTTTATAAATAAGTAGACGAAAAGGATTTCAATTTACTCATTATTATAAATTATGATACGTTTATTTTAGCGAGGACGAAGCAACTTGTCAGTTGTTATAAAAAACTTCTTGCTTGACTTAACAATTATTAAATAAGAAAAGATAGTTGTGGTAACGCACAACGCACCAAAACCTTTGTGCAAACCTCGTGTATACATCGTGCGCACACACGCACGATACAATATCGTGTGCACAACTGTGTGATCGTACATTTTGTGCGGTTTGGTAAAATGGTTGGCTTATATTACGGACTGAAAATGAAACGGAAAATTCATGAAGTTATTAAATAGCGATCACATGAACATTAAAATTGATCAGTGATTAGAGAAGTAATCTTTAATTAGACAGTTTTCGAAAGAACACTGGATCTGCTTTAATTAATCTTATCCTCTGTAAGTTCACACATCAGAATGTGGCGAGTAGTGGTGCCTCGGGAAATAAATGTTTACCTGTATACAGGATAGGCTGGGGTCGCCCGTGTAACAAACGTAACACTTACCAGGGCGAATATTTTTTGTTTACAAAATAAATGAAAAATAAGAATAAAACAGAAGTAACGAAGATAAAATTTCCTTTCATTGCTGTGACATAAAGAGACGTCCATTTAATGTTTACATATATATTGTAATATAATATAATATAATGTGTGTCACTAGCGCTGGTCACGTGTGGCTCTTTGTTAACAAAACACTTAAAATTACGAGTGTATCTAACCGAGTATAAAAATAAAGTACATAGCAAAACTTTACTGAGCCTAGTTTTGTTTCGTGTTGCTCAGGTAGACAACGCGACAATAACAACAACAAAAAATTTTAAAAAAACTGGTTGTTTACACTGTTACAGTAACGTTTTCATGAATGAAAAATTACGTAGAAATTATCGTTTGTTTAAACGTCAGACAATGTGATATAAATAGAATGGTAGATCATTATTATGAAAACATAATACGAGTCTAAAAACAAAGTCCATAGAAATAGGACATGTATGATTAAGGCTAACTTCGCTTAAATAAGTTTGATATTTCAAAATATCGTTTGGTAAGCATGTATGTATTTTTTCTGGTATAGGTTTGAAAATGGGGGTCCGACTATGTAACATATGATAATCTTTTTATCCTTAGGGATAAAGTGACCTACCGGAACTTGTTTTCAATCTTAGGTATGAAAGGAAACTGACCTCCGTCCATATCGATCCATAAATACGTATATCATTGAGAATAAAGACCAGGGCCCGTATTCACGAAACCATTCTCATGCTCAAGCATTGATTTTGTGCTCCAGCAAACTTTTTTTTATAATTTACCTAAATAATATAAAATAATACAAATGTCAAATTTAAACCTTGAATATAGCTTTGACTTGAAGTCCTTTCCAAATTGTTTTTAAATCTTCGGCAAAATAAGCTTATTTATTAATTTTAATTTAAACAAGACGTAAGGGTGAGCACAAAATTCATGCTTGAGCATGAGAACGGTTACATGAATACGGGCCCTGATTTACACTACAAAACCAAGTAAAAGAGGCGTTGATTCCAGTAAGGAAATCGCTTACAGCGACAAAATATTTGGTATATTCTGTTTATACGAGTGTATCTAACCCTAGTCACATCGCCTTGTGGCAACTTAGTCCATTTCTGTGGGATTAATATTTAATATATATCGATTCCTTTCTTCAAAATAAGTAAACATCAGACTATACAAATCAAATGTGGCTAGATCTACAGGACTTTTCTCTGGCTTGGCGTAGGTCGGAGAAATCTGTGAGATTCACGACTGTTTAACCCAAGCTATGGAAACGTCATGTTAATCCCTTGTTACATTTAGCCATAGGAATTAAACAAACATGTATCAGAACATTACCAAGCATTTGGATTTTCATTTTCCAGTGCAATACGTCAACGCTACGGAGTACTGTGTCCCCGACATTGTTTTACGTGATAAACAATAAATAGGTATTACCTGGCATTCAGTGTAACAAATACATATATATTTTCCATATCATGTACACTATAAATCCAATAATGTATTTGAAAGAAGTTTGTGCACATATTCGAAAAAAGGGGAAAATCACTTTTTATTGTCTGTACAATTGTGAAATAAATATGTATAGTATACAGCTTTCCTTACCACAACCTTAGTCTACTGTACTTAAAGTGGGGCGTTTATCCGTCAAACTGCTATGAGAATTATATTCACTTCTCGGGTGTTGATTTGCTCTATTTACCAGTGAAAACGTAAACTATTGCTTTAAAACCACACATGGATGGCATATTTCCTAGTGTAAACAGAACTATGTACGTTTATCATTATGTGGACAAAACATTGTGAAAGAACACATCAGACAAAAGGTCTGCTGACCGAGTTTATTAAAGTCAAATAAAGTACATTGTATTTAAACTATAGTACGATTGTCTACGTCATCAGTACAAATAGGTAACAATCGAATAACCCTGTTTGTATTCAATGTCTCGGCAGTGTTTAACACAGATCCTCACCACTTTGATCAGTCCAACATTTGTACTTAACATATATCAGAATAAAAATGGTTTCAATATACAATCGTGTTCGTGTACACGTACATAACCACATACTAATAAAGCTTGTCTATTTCCACACATATACTTCGACACTATACTTACATACACACACGGTAGTATACAAATACATATACACAATACTTGCAAAATTATAGTGTTGTATACTAAATATTTTCTCTCTATTGTCAAAAAATATACCCTGTACCATACAACAGTCATCACGTTGTCAGTTTAATACATTAATGTATTAAATATTCCTACGAAATTCAGCCAGAAAATGATCATTTTTGAAAAAAGATATTACGTGTTTAACAAGATCACTATCTCATCCCGAACGCGATTTGCGAGATGATAGTCTTTCGTAAGTTCTGATACATTCACATGAATATGTACGTATCATGCTAACCTACGTGAATGTTTTGATGTGTACTTAAAATAGTAACTGTAAACATGTGTGTATTGCGTATGGCATCCTTTTATGTATAAGTGCATACTTCAAATAATACACGCTATAAAACCATCCGGTATCCGCGTTTTAACATCTGTAAAGAAACTTACCGTTTGAACAAATAATATACATTAGATTTATTCATTTGAAGCTTATTAAAGCATTAGCTTAGATAAAAACAATAAAAGAAAGTGACGACAGGTCAACAGAGTCTTAATTCAAACTCAAATTAAACTAAAGCAAAGTATAAAAAAAAAATTACAAGGCGACTTCCGCAAAAGTACTAGGAAAATAAGATAAGGCATTTCAAATATAAAGGCAAAGGGGAAAGTAAGAAATAGCAAAAACAAAACAAAAAACAATTCTTACACATTTGACGTACTAGAAATAATAACAAACCCTCTATTGTAAGAAATCTATTCAAATCTATGGACTAGAAACACAGCTGATACGAAAAATCATATGTAAGGAATAAAGAACCAAACCACATGAGTTATCCCACCTGAGACTTGTACCAAAATAAGACGTAGTTCAGATGAAGGACATTTTCAATATCTGTTCCTCCTACACACTAGGATAGAAATCTCCATGATGTTAGATAACAGAATCAGAGGGATATCACACTATCCTAACTATACTAATGTATGTCTTAATTAGTTATTTTCAATTACAGAGGAAATTAATTCTTTGTCAATATCTATATACTTAGGTAACCTCTCTTCCACTCTTATGATAACCTGATATTTTTCTATTTTGAGATACCTCTTGGTAACAAGGGGTATTACGTCATCACTGACACTGTGACGACACAATGTATGGCATTCTACATCGTAACTTTCAAAAATACGTTTTAAATAATTTTCTTGGAAGCTAGTATTAAGTAAAATCTTAATTGGTAGAACTTAAAATACCAACTTTTTTTCGGTTTATAAATATTGCTGTTATAAAACTACTAATGTACCATCATCATGTGTATAAAATATAGTATATATATACTACACAAGGAAGTACCTTATCGTGAACATTCTCTTCAGTGACAATTTGTCGTGCAAACTGCAGTGCAAGGTTATGCAGAGGAAAATACATCACACGGAGGAAAGGGAACGCTTACCTATGTTGACGTTGTAAGTTCCAATTTGTGGGCTTGTATTACTGTACAGGTTAGTAATGTTACAACACCAATATTTCCGAGAAAACAATCGTATCATCCATTAGTGTCTGGTCTTTATTTCCTCATTCATAGACAACTATCAATACAGTAACATTAAGTCGCCATTGCGGACGCGGTTATAGCGCCTGTGTACCACACACCTACCTACACACAACATCGACCCAGTTCTAACGTATTTTCCGCGTCAAGCCATGCATACACACCAAGGAATATTCTAGCAATGATGCATGAAAACATTAAACTACGAAACAGGTCATTAATCTTAAAAAATAGAGGAAAAATATAGAAAAAATAAAATGTATTTAAAACTGAACAGCTGGTTATAAAGACCGATTGTGTATCGATTAAGTTAATGATATACAGACTTCATTATCAATTGATCACTGAATCCTTCACCCGAGTCAACGTATAGCATGAGATTAATACACTGTATTGTATGTAGTTATACATCTATATCGACCCATTGGGATCAATAGAGTTAATATTGAATTAAAACATGCCGATAATTATCAGTCCGTTTGGAGATTTGCTACATCCACCATTCTTTCAGCCCGATCATGAGAACATCTGTTGACTCATAGTATTTTCTAACGCATGTAGCAGTTTGCTCATCAATACATGTTTCGCCCTACTTAAAATAAATATTGTTCATCTATAAAAACATCGGCCTCCTTTCCATAACTGAGTAATATTATACTATGATTTTACCTTCGTTTCTGTCCATGCCACGGCATACCAAATAGTGAAACCAATAAAGTTGTTATCGATACTCTGAATTTATTTGTGTATTCATTTATTTTATAAATTTTTATGAGTACATATTATTAACATTTGAATGACGTCGTTTCATAATGATACGAATGTGTGAATTGTTGCTTCATCTTGTGTTTTGTTTTAGATAGTGATCCCCGAAAGATTTGTAATCCTGCTGGAAAGTTTGAAAATCTATGACGTCACATATAACAGTAATACATTTAACCTACTTAGTCCTTTGTTGAGTGTTGGGTAATACTACCAGATTTTAAATACCTTACATAAGTGACCGTAGTTAGATTAACTGAAAATGTTCGGCTCTTTCAAATTCAAATTGTACATGTAACTAGATTCTCGCATGGTTTTTTTCTCGTTCGCAGATTTAATCCGAAGAATAAACGACACATTACGGTATTTGTCCTTACAGAAATAGGAAACTAATTTCGCGCCTTTCTCTTTTTTAGCACATCAAAGCGAACGCGACCAAAATTAATTGCAGCTCCCACTTAACCCACCACTTTATTGTTTTTGTGCTCAGAACGAGACCATCTACTAGCTGCTCTCTGCTTGACGCCCAGCTTTCAATTACTCGGCGGTTCTGAGTAATGTGACCGACTGGGATGTCTTGCTTATTTGACAAGCTTTTGGAATTTTAGAGTTATGGAATAAATAAAAGGTTCCTTGAGTAATCACCGCTCCCGTGAACATTGTGCTCATATGGTAATATTTGTTGGGTGGACGGAAAGTCCGATACAAAGCAAACATTGCTTCTGTTCTGGAAAAAAGAAGACAGGGTTTGGTGTGCGATGTGTGATATGTTGTAACCTGGGAACTCGGCCCGAAAGTTTTCCAATGCATATATACATCACTATTCCTCAAACTTTCCTGATGAAGAAATATAATCTTGTTGTCTATATTAACCAATTGAATGTGGCCTGTTGAGATATATATATATATATATATACTGGGAATGTTTTATGCTTGTTTGCATGCTTGGTGGTTCAGTTGTCGTTAACCTTGTTCTTGTCTGGGAACGTGCCTTTCAGTGCTCTCTGTAAATTTTGTCCATATTCTACCATCGTTACATCGCTTGTGAGTTAAATACGATTTTCAATATCAATTATGAAACTAACTTTTAAACTTTTTTTATCTGAAATATATATGTAAAAAGACGAAATAGATCGACAAAGAAAAGAAAGTTTCACACAAATTGTTAATGTGAAAGATTAAGACATTATTGAAAGAAAGTATTTGAAGTAACGTGTTATTGTTATTGTGTATTAACACAACATATAACACCTTTTGACAATTACTTGATATTTTAACGAAACATAGAGACAACATACAACTATGTCCCCTTCAATTTGTATCTTGTGCAGTGCTGTACAGTACGCTGGTTAATGACCCACTTGGTAATTACACTGTGGTATAGCTCGATCAAAACAAAGAGAAATTGTTCAAACAAGTTACAAATGCATAATTTTGGAAAGTCTAAAATTATAAAATTGTATACTTTCCTAAATTAGAAAAAAAAAAAGAAAGGAAGAAAGGCACACACTGACAACTTGATAGATTTGATAGAGTTAAGTGAGTAAATATAGCGATAAACAACACGAGGTTTAAATCTCAACGAATTATCCCCTACATGATGACGTCATTCTAAAAAAATTGCTACGAAACGTTCCGGTAAGATGGCTGACGCACATAGATAATTTCTTTGTAAATTTACATAGCGAGTGAGATTTGTTTTTAGATATGAAATCCTATATCAACTTTTAAAAGTTCAAAGTAAAACGTTTACTGACCTTCTCTGTCTGTCTCCAGTGCAATGTAGTTCATAAATTTCACAAATACGCCATCTGGTACAATATGTAGATTTCTGTTGGCCAAAGTGATGATATCGTCCCTTCTGAAAGACGATAAACTAACAAAGCTTTATCTGGCTTGTGTAACACTAGGAAAAGCAGACTTCATCAGGCACGGCCTAAAGTCATATTAGCTATGACGATCCTGCACATTAATTACGATCCTATGAACTGGCACACACATTAAATTCCACACTTTGTTAACGCAAACAATGAGAAGAAAGTGTTATGTATACCGCTGGTAACAATGTACTTCAAACGTTCTTCATAAATTTGAATCTGGAGGATTTGTAACAAGTTTTTTTTCAAGCCTCTAGAGAGGTAAAATAAAATAATGCATGGTGAATTTCTAGGACTTAGCTTCGATACTTGTGAAAACATTCGAAAATAGAGCGTTGCCCCGACTGATACAAAATCTAATTTGGCGAACTGGAGCTGGTAGACAATGTTAGTTGACACTTTCCGCTTTAATTTAGTCAAATAACGTCAGAAAATACACGTGTTCTTGACGTTCTTTTGATATCTTCATTATTAAATATTACGAAATTTCGTGAATTTGACTGCTAGAACACCTCCTCATCTGGTTCTTATATATGAATTCTGACTTTTTGGATTGATCTTACGGTGCAACTATTAAGCTTCTTAAAACCACTATCGGGGCCCAGAAGGACAAATAAGCTGTATGATGTAGTGTAATTAATCCTTTGGCTCTACTGTATGACTAATTCTAACTTGTAAAAGGTTTTTTGACTTGTGTGTCTCTTGTACAATTTTTAATGACGTTGTAATACATATGACGTCATGAACTAAATTGATATAACATATGCCAACGTCATGACAATAACAAAAAATCTAATTTTATTGATTGATATAACCGCTGCTCCATAAGTGACAATAACAAAAAATCTAGTGAGTGTTATTTTATTGATAACAGAGTAGTTATTCGAACTTTCAGCCAACCGCTGCTCCATAAGTTTATTTTATACGAGTGACAATAACAAAAAATCTAGTGAGTGTTATTTTATTGATAACAGAGTAGTTATGTGATATATATTCTCTAAGGAGTGTAGAAATACACTTACAAAACAATCGTTTTACACACATTCATTGTTTTCCTGTTGCAGTTGATTAAAGGTTGATGAAGATTTAAGTAAAGGTAAGTTTCCGTGATATGACGTTCGGTGTGTTTGATTCTGGTTGTAGTGGTGATTTGGTAAACCAAGTTTTAATTTTGAAATTGTGACTTCTTACTTTTATTGACTCAAATTACTGCTTGAAATGAAAAAAAAAATCTATTTTACTACTTTACCAGAAGGTAACTGACTTAGCGTTAACATATATATAAATATTATCAATGAAGTAATAACTGTCCGATTTCCGACAACTGAGGATGTTTTTTGTCCGTTAAAAAGGGCCTTCGGCGTCCATCGTCCGAACGGATTATCGAAACACCTAAATTTACACCACCGCTCTCGATTTAGTTTATAACTTTTTATTTGTGTAATTTTTGTAATATTTGTTTCTTGATAAGGAGGCGGATTGCTTCAAAAATTTGACAATTCATTTGTCCGTACTGTCGTTATTACTTCATTGATGATATATCTACCCCAGTAATACGCATCCAACGAACATTTGTTTATTAGGATCCAGTAGCAATATTGGACCATTGGATCACTGAATGAAAATATAAAACTTGTTAGTCAATGTGCAAACCATAGCAACACACAGATTGATAATCTGACAAATGTATGTGGATAAATTTTATATAGTCTTATTGTACCCGGTGCTAGTCTTCGTAGAGTAGTATCAAAACCTCTTCCAACTTCAAAGAGATGCCTATCGTTTGCAATTTGGCGAGGCTCAGCCTTCACTTATAAGCAAGTAGCGTTCCTACTAAGTGAAGCTCTGAAGTGGTGTTGTATGAGTGCGGCGTAACTGAGTTAGGATAAACTTGAAAAGAGTTACTTAACTTCTCATGTCTGATAACTACATTTAGAGAATTAAGAATTAACTTTCTATTTTGTTCAGGTTATCGGGGATGACTACCATTGAACTCAATGAAATTGAATAATTAGCCAGTTGTGTTATGAGCTCAATTATAATTATCCCGATAACCTCCCCGATAACCTTCGCGATAACCTCCCCCGACAACTCCTCCGATGTCCTCCGATAACCTCCCCCGATAACCTCCTCAGATAACGTCCTCCGATAACCTCCCACGACAACCTCCTCCGATAACCTCCCACGACAACCTCCTCCGATAACGTCCCCCGACAACCTCCTCCGATAACGTCCTCCGATAACGTCCTCCGATAACCTTCCCCGACAACCTCCTCCGATAACGTCCCCCGACAACCTCCTCCGATAACGTCCTCTGATAACGTCCCCCGACAACCTCCTCCGATAACGTCCCCCGACAACCTCCTCC